AATGGCATTAGCCCATTGACAGAAACAGACAGAAAAGACAATCTCGGACAGTGAGTGATAGGCACTAGGAAGACAAGTGAAACAGAGCACCTAGGGAAAGTGATTGGAGGGGCCATTTCAGTTTGGGTGGTCAGAGGCGGCCTCCTTGAAGCAAGAACGTGCAATCTGAGGCCTATTAGGAGAAGGGCCAGCTGTGTGGGGATCTGGAGGTAAGTACATTCCAGGTGGAAGGAAGAGCAAAGCCAAAGACCCTTAGGTGGCAATTTGCTCCATGCATTCAAGATACAGGGAGATGACCCTAAGGCTTAAGAGAAGTGAACAAGGAGGTAAAAGAAGGAGAGAAAGCTGGCCAGTTAGGCAGGGGCTGGCTCGTAAGGGTTTCAAAACTGTATTTACAAGCGGGCTGCTGTGTGGAGAATAGGCTGTAGGGGGAAAGAATGGCAGTAAGGAAACTGGCAAGGAGTCTGTTAGGTGAGAAAATGGGTGACAGCATAATTTCTCATCCGAACCAGGACACTTGTGCCAGGTGAACAGGGATGCTACAGACAATTAATCAGGGACAATAGGCAGAGCCGGGACTGGCCACTGACAGAATTCTACGTGCAACCAGCAAGCCCTAGCCAGGACTGGCAGAGAAGTTCAGCAGGTTTTAGCAGTTCTGCTCCGCCACGGAGCCCCCAGCTCTAGGAGAAAGAATCACTTTCCTGTTTGGTCCCAGGCTCCTGGGCTGCTGGCCCATGCCTGAGCATTTGAGTTTTGTCTGGAGGCCGTGGGTTGCAGTTGCAGCACGTACATGGAGGACATCCTCCTCCCTGTGCATTCTGGGCGACAACCAACAGGACACAGATGAAAGAACAAAGAGGAGAGATGTGGATGCCCCTTCTGGAGGTGGTGTTGAGAGAGGGTGGAAGCCAGAGAGGGATGGACAAGCTCTAAGTTGCAGAGCAGAGATTCTTAACTTGGCCCTCAGGGGGGTTCTGTGAAATGGGTGAAAGGATCACAAGCTTTCATCAGATTCTCAAACCAAAGACTCCCAAAGACATGAAAGACCTTTGCTTTAGAGAACAGTAGCTCTCACACTTCAACGTGCCTTAGAATGACATGGCAGGTTTGTTATAACAGGGATTGCTGGGCCCCAGAAGAGCAAAGCTAAGGTTCTGAATCAGTTCAGTGTGGAGCTGGGCCCAAGAATTTGTAATTCTAACAATTTCTAAGGGAATGCTCCTGCTCTTAGGTCTAGGGGCCACACTTTAAGAATCACTGCTTTAGAGGATACAAAACACATGAAGGGTTCCAGTTTAAATTATGAACTTCTCTTTTCAGACAAGAGTTCTAACAGATGCCACAGCCATCTAAACCACCCCAAGTCCCCAGGAATTTCATATTTTATTTTTGGAAGAGGCCCCTGGAGAGTGACAGACACTAGACCTCCTCTTGGAGGTCAGGAAGCATCTGGAAAACAGCATTTTAGAGGATGCAGGAAAGTGCCTTTAGAGACATAAAAGCCCAAGCATTACTCAGTGCTAGAAACTACAGGACTAGCCCTGGCTGATCCAATAATAAGTAGGGCAACTACTGGTGAATAGTGAGTTTTTGGGAATCTGGGCAGATCATGGTCCTTTCCTAGAGACTGCCTCCTGATCCTTTCTGAGCCTATATCTGAAGCCAGAGGGGCCCAGATAGGAGGTCTGCTGTAAGGAGGACAGGGTGTCTGCTGGGGGCTATAATCTGGGAAAAAGAAAGAAATCAACAACTCTACTAGACAGAATTCAAGGGCTTCATTCACAGAGCTCTTTGATCAAGTCATTGTGGTGAGGGTGGGAAAAGGCAGGAATAGTATTTAGGGCTGTGCTTACTTTAAACAAGAGCAGTGGAGAGAGGCCTGGAAAGGCTATTTGCCAGCTATCCTCAGCCCTGAGTAAGTCATTCCCCATGAAAAGGGAGGGGGAAATGAAAACGTGGATTCATTCATGAATCAACCTTCAGAGCAGGAAGTGTGGCTTTTGAGCTATACAGGGAACATAAGCTTTGCCATCCAGCTAAATACATCCTAAAATGAGCAGCTAAATACATCCTAAGGTGAGGCAAAGTCAGGGAGACTCTACAAGTTACAAGAGGAGACAGAGGGGCGCCTGGGTGGCTTAGTCGGTTAAGCGTCCGACTTTCGCTTAGGTCATGATCTCGCGGTTCATGGGTTCGAGACTCACGTTGGGCTCTGTGCTGACTGCCAGCTCAGAGCCTGGAGCCTATTTCAGAGTCTGTGTCTCCCTCTCTCTCTGACCCTCTCCTGCTCACGCTGTCTCTCTCTCTCTCTCTCCTAGAAATAAATAAAAAAATATTTAAAAAATAAAAATAAAAATAAAAGAGGAGACAGAACCTTATGGGGAAGACAATACACTAGAGTGATTGAGATCAAGGATGTGCTTTGGCATTAGCTTGCTAGGACTTGTGACTTGTGACCTGTGCGACCCTCAGCATGTTACTTAATCTCTCAGTGCCTTAGTCTCCTCTTCTGTAAAATGGGGATAATAATAGTGCCTATGTCTTGGGTTGTACTAGGAATTACATTTAAAAACCTAGATAAAACACTCAGCTTGGTACCTTGCATATTTTGAGCATTCAATGTTTAAAAAAAAAAAGTAGTGAGTCTGGAAAAATGTAAGATGGTAGCAGTAAGACACACCCTTAATGTCACTGTCAGAGACAGAAAAAGTGGAGGGAGGGAGGTTAGAGCTGCTGCCAATCTCTCCAGGAGGATGATAAAGAAACCCCTGCTCGTTGGGGAAGGTGTAAAAAGGGGTGAGCTGGGTATGCAGGGACAGTCAGGATTCCTAGGATGGTGGGGCTAACTGGACAATCCCATTGGCTGTAAGGTGGTGATATCCTGCTCTTTTAAACATTGCAACATTCACTGACTCTGTTTTGTGACATTTCCTCACTGCCTAACCTAAGTGTCAAATGGCCTGATTTGAAGAAATCAAAAGAAATAAAAATCAAGGTTGGTAGGGAGCTAGAATTACATTACTGAAAACACTCCGGAGATTTGCAATATGAAAGTAGAATCCCCATTTTCAGGGGGGAAAAAAAGTCTCCTCCTCCTCAAGTTCCAGAAGTATGGGGGATGGTACTGCGGTGAAAGCAATGGTGATGTGTCCTGGCCCTGAGGTTAGCTACCAGTCAAACACTGAAAAAGAGATATCTTTCCTCTGATCCTGAATGAGCACAACCTCTTCCAAAAACCCTATACTCTAAATCAAAAAGTCCTGTCTGCTTAGAAAGAAAGTGTTACTGGAACGAGGAACAAAGAGATTTCCAAAAACCAAGCAAAAGAGCCAAAGCAAATGACACACCAACATGGTTAAATAAAAGTTAACATCTATTAGAGGTGCGGCCGAGAAGAGATTGCCAACTACATCACTTTAGAAAACAAAGAGCTAAATTAAAATGACTAATAGTTCTGTTGAACATGCTGGGCACCTTTCTTGAGGGTCTCCCTGTGGTACTATAAGCTTTGTCCTGTAGTACAGACCTATCCCAAGTCTGGGACATTGCCCCTGTAGCCCTGCAGAATTTCACTACTTGCTCTTCAACATGACCACAGGGCATCTTTAATCCTAGTCCCATCTGGAGTCTTTAAAAGAGGAAGGTCACAGAGAGTGAGGAAGGGGCCTGGCTTGTGACTTTTAATTCTCTTATACTTACCACAAATCAAGACTTGAGTACCCCCCTAAGCTCCTACGTAACTAGAGAGCACAACTCTTGGACAGGGATCCAGGGGTTTGTCTGATTCCACCTTGAGCCCAGAAGGGAATCTGGTCTCTTGTTCGGTGTGTGCCCCCTAAATCAAAGGCCCCGAAGAACTTAGGGAAAACTTTTTGTGCACTGCACCTACGATGTCCAAACAGTGACACTCTTAGCTTTAGGTTTTCATACAATAAAGTTTCTGCATTATTTTTATTGGATTGATGGTTGTCAGATGTAGAAAGGGGGGCCATTTTAGCAAGAAAAATAACAGTAACAACAATAGCAAAACTTTCTTGGGATTCACCCAGGAAAGGCTGGAATTGTAGTACTAGGATCTTGAGATATTTTTATGGCCAAGCCTTAGTCTTTAGAATGTAACCACTGTCACATACATTTAAATAACAGTGAAAATTTTTCCATAGTGAGAACAAGGTTCCTGCAACTGCTCTTTCCAAGCCTCCTAATATCTAGCCTGAAGGTAAGCGAAAGCATGGGCAAAGAGGAAAACAGGGAGAAAGCCAGAAATAAAACTTCCAACTCTACTTCCAAAGGTTGGGTGAAATGTATATAACTAAGGCCTCTACTGGCTTTTGAGTTGGAGGCCAAGACCAGGATTTTTTTGGTCCAGTAAGATAATTTTCTAGAAGAAGACCCCATTAAAACTATTCTGAAGGATCACTCCTGCATATTTTCATTGGTAACTTCATTCTGTCTACCACTCCACTCACCAGAAAAGCAGTTTTGAAAGGATCTTATTTTAAAGCATGAACCTTTATTTTCTGCAGAGGACTCTCTTCATGTTTTGTTATGTACTCTTTTGTAGCTCTTCTTACGAGCCCAAACCAACTTCAAATTTAAAACAATGGGGGGAAAAAACCTTCCATGGGAAAGGAGCATGATTTATGGGACTAGTTTTTTTTTCTTCTCAGTTGTGATGGCTGGGTTAACCATCATACCGTCAGAGAATTTTAAAAACTGACTCAAGAAGACAGGCAAGTCATTCACATAAAATCTTTAGAAATAAATAAGTTTGTTTTAAAATAAAATAAAAAATAGAGTTTTCCAGTGTGAGAGAGAGCACACTTAATGCTTGCAGCCAATTAATTAGAAGGCAAGTATACCTGCTACTGAGTTCGAAAAACGGTTTCCAGCTATCAAAAAAAAAAAAAAAAAATGCAGAGCAACCAGATCCCCCCAAAGACACTGAAACAAAAGACTGATCTGTTTATATAGTCACATGAAAAATAAACATCTTTATTTTTTTGCCTACTTTATTTCATTTTTTCAAATAAAATTTAAATCTGTACAAAGTATACTGTTACAGTATATATTTTGTAAGAATCAATGCCTAAAAGAATCACAATACTTCAATAAGCAGTACAGCAGACCTCGCTAGTTTCAGCTTTGATATTGAACAAACTCAAGCCGGCTGATGCACAACACATTTGCTTGGTTTCCACATGGTGAGTTCCCAGCACTGAGATGGGAGAACATGACAGCAAGTATGGTTATATTACAGCCCGACACACTGCGCTTCTTCATGTGATAATAACTGCACATATTTAATACAGAATGCTCAAATTTACTTTTTAAATTGCATTTGCTTACTTCTTAGTTGGCAAAATTCAGCATTCTTAATGGGGTCCCCAAACAGTGCAAATTAATGATATTCTACTGTATAATTGGCACATCTCCAATAAGGATTAACTTGTAAACTCAAAGAATATCACAACTTCGTCCTAAATTTTAACTAATATACATCTGGTCCATTTAACCAAAGTCATTTTGGAAAGATAGTAAAGAACAATTCTATTTTTGAAAGGATACTCTTTGACCATTCTTTAGAGAAGTAAATTTTTAAATTGTCATTAAAATGTTTTACTATAAAAATTTTACAAACTTGATTAGAAATTTCAAGATGATTCACAGCAGACAAATACAAACTTTATATTCCAACAATACCTCCTTTTAGACTTTCAAAACAGAGCACAATCATGTCAGCTGTGTTAACTAAAATTCTGAACAGTGTACTAAATTTATAAGTGGTGCTGGGTCTAGCAAGTGTAAATACACAGTATATTTAATGAAAAGAATTGTCTTCTTTATACTTTATTTGTTTTCCCATAAGGAAACATTAATGTTTACATTCTTTAATAAAGTTAATCTTACATCAGAATATAACTTAATACTGTCAGCAACAGGGACCACACACAGTAAATAAGAAGCACATTTAAAATAAGTCTGAATTCACATAGATTAACATTTGTTGGTTAATAAAATATCGACAGTATTACAATCTTACAATATTTACAGTAAGAAAAATCTAGAGTAATATATACCTTTCACAGCAGGATTCCTTTTTTATTTTTTAAAATTATTTCTTCCAGTTTGGGATTGTGTATACATGAAAAGCTCAAATAAAGCAACTCTGCAATATAATCTTAATATAATGGCTACTGGGGGGAAATTCTATCACAACCATTGAAAATAATGGTGACTTTTCACGGAGTCTGTGGCATCTGAGAACCCAGTTAATTAACCAAAGTCTCGCCCCAACCAGCCTCAGTTACCCAGATTAAAGCTGCAGAACTCCGGCCTTCCCTGACTGCTGAAAACCCAACAGATTTTCTCAACATGCTATAAGAAAAGAGGGAAATAGGTTTCAATTCACACCTCATGGCTGGATGTCTCCTGCCAGTGTATATTCCCCAATTTATGCTAAAAGGGCCCATTTCCTCTCCAAAGCCTCACAAGAGTTTCCACTCCAACTACAGGGCACTTTGACACGGAGCTTACTCCTTCCTCAACTCTTGTGCATTAAGATAAGGCATGAACTTGGCCCATATAACACACACCAGCATCTTACTTGGGACCAGGGCAAAGAAACAGACTAATGCAGTTTGCACTGAGGTCAACAGGGAAAATGGGAAGCGATGCACATTTCCAATTAGAATGGCAAGAAGACCCACATCCCTAAACTGGAATTTGGCCAGGGCCTCAGAGTTAGCACCCCCTCTCTGAGTACCACAAGCGATTAGGATGTGTGCTCTGGGCCTCCTCAGAGAGAGAGCGAGCGAGCATCTACAGTAAGTAACACCATGTGAGACATTAGTTCAGTGATGACTCCCAAGAAAACAGATACAATTCTTGAATCTGGGGCTGTCCACAGCACCTGAGGTCACTCATCTTAGCTGTGACCTGTCCCAACGCTGCTTACTTTAAGAGATCTGATGGGCACAGAGCACTCAGGGATATGGCTGCTGGCTACTTTGGACTCTAGATCTCACAGGTAATCAACAGGTATCTGGGATTGAATTAGCAAACTGTACCATAGCTCCTTAAACAGACACTGTCAGGTTTGAAATCATGTCAAGCATGAATCTTCACTGTCAGGTCAGAAATCAAAGTGGGAATCTTCCCACGTCAGCCAAGGTTATTTTGTCAAAACCTTAGAGGAGTTGGACAGTTTTTCATGTTCCAAGTGATTAGTTTACATATTTCAGTCAAGCTGGATTGGCAAACCAGACTGATCTATTTAGTTAGCTTTGTTTTCATTTTTGTTTTCTTTTTTGATTCTTATGTATGTGTTAACCCAAAGCTGTTGTATTTGGGCTAAACACACTGACAGAGAAAATTCAAACTACAAAAGTTTTCAGCAAACTTCTGTGGTATTTTCTTTTTGGAAGTCAATGCAAGATCTAAAGGTATTTCTACCTAACAAAGTCTGTTTAAGTGTTTAATGTTATTTCCTTTTTGGTCCTATACAGAATGCTATGGCTTCTATATAGGTCTGAATGCTGCTCCATGTAGATTCCTTCTGTATATCTAAAAATATATACTTTTCAGTAGTTCAATACATGGTTAATCTTCCCACAGAGGAAGATTTTTGTAATCACAAGTTGCAAAGTAGAAAAAAATCTCCTTTCTAAGAAAGGAAATATACTTTCCTATTGTACACTTTTGAAGAAGCCCAGAGGCATGCACCAAAAATCATTATGAAAACTAATACATGCATTAAAATGGTGTAGAGTTAAAGTGCTGTTTCTCAATTTTTTAATTTGGAGAAGACATTTTGTCAGATGTTGACTCAAAGATCTCCCCCTCCACCCCCCCACCCCACTCCATGGCATTAAGAGAGAAAAGTAAAAAGTATGCATAAATCTTTAAACTGTTCTTTACATAGGGGAAAGGACAGATACAACAACTATCCTATTTATAAACTGGATTCCCAGTTTTAAATAAAACCAATATTTACTGGTAAAAATTGTCAAAGCTAATACATCCAAACAAATACTACTAGTAAATAATGTTCTACATAGAGAATAATTTACTTTGGTTTTATGTACCTTCTCAAAAATAATACTGGTGTCCCATACGTCACCAAACTGATGTGTTCCAGCAAAGCTGTAAGGCAAATCTTTTTGTTCCTAGTGACATCTTTTTTCCCAACAGACAAAACTAAAATCTTTTGGTGAGGAAGAGGTTAAGGTAATAGCTAACCCCTTGGCATCCTGAGCATTGTGGTTTATCAAACTCTACCCTGCTAGAAGCTGTCAGGCACCCTGACCCCTGCCTTGAACCAGGAATGGCTCCCATGTCTAGAGATGCCCTAACTCCTTATAAATAGCTCTCAGAACATTGCTTCTTTTTCCTTCTGTCTGGATGTTATAATGTCTAACAAAGCTGGTTGCAATGTCACATTTTGCTAGTAGGGGCCACCATCTAACAATAATTCCAATCTGAAATGTTTAAGCCAATAGTTAGTTCTTTATCAGTTAATTGCATTAAAATTTTCTCTGTAGAGTTTTCTTAGAGCAGAGATCCTTAACTTGGGTTTCAGATGTGTGATGCCCCTGAGGTTGCATGTAAAATTATCTAAGTATGTGCAATTTTTTTTTCTGGGGAGAGGGTCCATCACTTTCATCAGATTATCAAAGATATCTGTGATCTCAAAAAGGGGTTACAGGGATTTAGAGGGATACCCGTAATTCATTTTATACTAGGAATGGGAAATGGGGGCAGAAAACTAAAAATGGCCTCAAAAAAAAGGGGCCAAATTGCTGATCTTTTCCCTTTATTCACATTTGGGAAATAACTGCTTCAACCTAGGAAAAATAATTAATTAAGCTGATTAAACTCCATTAAAAATAATCAAAGCCACTTTCTAAAATATTTTCACTTTCCATATATGGTAAGTTTAGTCTCCAAGAAAAGGTTTGGAGATTGAATTTTTCTCCTTTCCCTAAGGAAATTCATAAACATAATGCTGATCATCTTCCACATTTAAAGATCTGATAACCTAAACCTTAAGACAACTCTAATACTTTAAGCTTTTAATTTACAATTTTGAGTAAAGAATTATCTAGAGTTAAATACACATTTGTCAACTTTCATCCCCCCAAATTGGTCCACAGTTAGACAACTACTGGGAACAATTCCACTAGATAAACCTAAAATCTGCACAAAAGGGAAGTTTAACTTTCTATCCCAATTGAAAACAAATCCACAAGGTTCTACAGTAAAGTCCAGCCACAAACATTCACACTAGTCATAGAGGACTTTCTCATTTCAATACATCACTGAATTACCAACAGAATTTGCAAATATGAGATCCAGAATGACTACCAAAACATGCTGAGAAGAGCATGTCAAGAATTAAACTACCACCCTCTCCCCCCCCCCATCCAGAAACACACTCAGGCATTCCAAAAATAAACCAGATCTAAAGAGAGGCCTCTCGCTTGTTAGTTTTAAGTATGAAACGCCCAAAAGGCTATGGAAAAGGGAATATAAAATGAAATAATTAAATAACTTACAAAAATTAATTTTAGCCAAAAGACATTTCTGTTCTATTGACAAAACTATCAACTTTTTTTTTTTTTTTGCAATTTTAAACAGTGTTGCACGACCTCACTAAGACAAAAAATATGTTCACAGGTACACATCTTGTTCTCCTATTCTTTCTAGAGCACATCTTGAGGTTATAAGAATGCTTCTAGTTAAAATAAAGACTCTTATCCCTTGCCACCCTCCCCCCCCTCAAAAAGTGAGTGAACCTTGAATTCCAAAAAGGAATATTCATTTAATGTAATTATTTCAATACAAGTTATATCACATAGACCATGATGAAACTCTATGAGCATTATGGAAAACTACATGAAAGAGGGAGCTGCCACTTGCCACCCATTTCACTTCCAGCTTTTGAAGCCAATACGCCAGCTAGACTCAGATCTCATTGACTTGAGTGAAAAGAAATCAACACTCCAAACCAGGCCATCTCAGGCTGGAAGCTGCATCTCAAAGACATCGTTTCATATGTATATATATATATATATTTTTTTTTCTATCCTAAGCTTTCATTTTTGTCTACTCAAATAGTTTAATAAAGCTCACATTTACAAAGGATTATATTGGCAAATAAAGGCCCATATTAAAAATTTTATCAAAACAAACTTTTGTTCTACATAGCTAACACTAAGAAATATTTTCTTGGACTTATAAAGCATATGTAATTGCATATAAGTTTTGCTTTGGGTGGGATATTGAAAACAACTCTGTAAGAAATTAGAAAAGACTAGAAACAAAAGTGAAAGTGACTAGTCTTAACTTTCAAAAAATCAAGTGCAAAGAGAAATAGTGCAAATAATGAAAACTAGAAATTTTATAGGCAACTTTACATCTTTCCTGCTTTTGCACTTTCACATATTGACTACTTTATAAACTCTAACAACTGTATGCAGCATGGAAATGGGCTATCATTTATCTCTATTGACTAGACTCAAGGAATCCTTTCAAAGGCAATCATTTAAATCACTGGTTCTTGACTAAGTTTGGGGATTCACTTTTTAAAAGACAATTCCAAAGGGAGAGGCTATTTAACAAGGCTATGCATGGACTTGAACAAGTTATAGAATGTAAGTGTATTATTATTTAAAATCTGTAAGATGTGAAAAGCATACTAAGTGCTAACTCTAAAAAATAAACTACAATAAAAATAATTCTACTATTATTAATGAACTTGACATTTGGAAAAAAAAGTTACTTTTCAGATACAAAATCAGAACCTCTTTTTTTAAATCTATCTTCAAAGAAATTTTACCACTAATGCATTCAGATTCGGGTAAAATGAAATAAATAATCTGTCAGAATCAGTGAGAATAAGTCCATATTAAACTAACAAAGATTCCAAATATACTTGAATTATGCAATTTAAAAAACAAAATATTATAGCAATTCTTTATCTTAAATAAGTAAAAATGTTCCTGGGATACTGGGAATGAAATCTAAACATTATCAATTCACCCTACAAAGAATATAAGAACTTCCAAGATGCACTAAATTATACTGTTAACCTCTGTGACCACTGAACACATGGGAATTCTACAATTTTAAAGTAATAAGTGGGAAAACAAACAGAAATTTGAGTTTGGGAGGGTATGTTGCCCAATTTCAGCAATATAGAATTACTGAGGATCTCATAAGGCCCACAGTTGTAAATGGTGGGACTGCAACTGAAAAAAAATAAAATAAAAAAGATACCTAAAATTATAGTTTAGTGTTTTCACCTGGTTTATTCTCTTCTTGTAAGAAATTAACATGGACCAAAGGCTCATGGTTCTATAAAATCAAGTCACGATATGGATCTTTGTGAACTGGAAAATCAAATGATTTGATCTAAGGACCATTTTGAAAAGTAAAGCTAAACTACACTGTAACATGAGACCAGGAAAATAGTCTGTATAATAAACTTTCTGATAGTTTAAAAATGATAACTGAAGAAAATTTTCTTAATCTTCTTTCCCTCAAAATAATAAGTCCCTAGTACCAACATTCTTTGACCAGAAAAGCTGTCATTCCACAACTGTTCTATTAATTTGTCCAGAAAAGCAAATATCCTACACCTGAAAACAGATTTGTATAATGCATCATCATACTAAAAGCTAGCTACAGACCAACAGCTTTCTCATAACCAACAAGGGACCCATTTTCTCTGGCTTTATTGAAATTCATTAGTGAATATCAACTTCATTGTCCTCAGCAAACAACTCTCATTTAAGACTCCACCTTAGTATCTTTACCTACCTCTAATAAAAATTTCTCCCGCTTTACCTCCAAACCATTCCCTTGTATAACTCACACTCCCATTCATGAACACATTAAATAGTTCTTCCCTTTCTGCTCTCAAATTTCCAAACCAGTAAATCTTACCCTCCAGTAACTTACCTAAAATACACATACTTCTTACTCTCTTCAATTCAGAAATTTCTTAACAATTTCAAGGCCCTTCAAACTGCCAACTTAAGACTATAGGGAAAATAGCACTCAGAAAAACTGCACAATTATCTTATTATACAGAAATCTTTCTGGGATCAGTTAGCTATGTTCTAAGGCAGGAGCCAGCAATTTTACTTTCCTCTTAAAAGGGTAAGCTTGAGTGTCACTGCCAGGCCTATGGCAAGGAGAAGAATAAAGGAGAGAGAAACAAGGAAAAAGAAGGATGAGAGGGGGAAAAAGCCAAATGCATATGGTAGAGGTAGGTCAAATGCCACCAACAACGACCTACACTGGAAATTGCCAATCTACTCCAGCTAAATGGGAGTTTGACCTAATCCCAACATGTGTCTAATAACTCATTAGCTGATGCCCATCACTGGTTAAGCTAGTCAAGACAGAATACATAAGTCACCTGTCCCATAAGTTTGCTACTTCACAATAAGGACATCTTAAGTCCTCCAAGGATCCTTCTGTTTTAATCTAGTTTAGACTAAAACACATGTTAAGAAGAGTATTTCCATGATTCTCAAAATTCCAGAATATAAAGGTTTGGTCCTTGAACTTGGAGGCCTCCTGAATTATTAAAGTGTACCCTAAATCAAGAAAATTAAACAGCTTAAATTTTTCCCATGAAATGCTACAAAATTTTAATAAGCAGACTCCTAATAATCATCAAAACAAAGTATGCTTTCATGAAAATTCAAAAATCTTCCAATTCCAAAGTGAGTGAAATATTTTGGGTCTGTAATTAACTTTATTTTACATAGAGGATCACCACCATGTTTCTACCTATCAAACAAGACAATTTTCCACAAAAGCAAAGCACATCAGGGAAAAAAAGAAAAAGAAAAGAAAAAGAAAAAAAAACCCAAACATAATATGGGGACAAAAGAAAAATATATGAATAACTATGAAGTTTTTTTTAAGAAAAATGTTTCTAACAAATGACCTGCCATATTCAGCTTTCCTAACAACAAAAATTGTCTAGACCATTCAACATCAAAACTTGGTAGTCAGTTTAGGAGCTAGAAGATGACAAATTGTTGGCTTGAAACCAATCATATCTTTTACTTTCAACTTGGTTGTTTCTGCATTATGAAATTCTACCTGACATGCTAATGCTAGTTTAGATGATCTTCACTTAGCCCATAATAATGAAATTTCTGTTTGAAAAGAGCCTTTCAAGTGGCCTAGGCCTTAAATCTAGGCTTTTAGGATCAATTAAAACCCAAATATTAAAATCATATTTTCTTAAAAATATATTGCAAATTCTCTAATTAATGCTGAGTGAAAACAATAATTTTAATAGCAATGATCATTTTAGTTTTACAGTGTACTTCATTACAAATGGTCTAAGTTCAGTTAACCTGCAATTTAAAAAATCCAAAAATATTATAATGTATGATTTAAAAATGGATAAACTTTAACAGACTTTCCACAAATAACTTCAGTGAATTTATTCACTTAGGCAATTCTGATAAATCTCTGTCCTATTCATTCCACTCTCATGAGGAAGTATATCTCTCTCCAAATTATTAAGATATTCAAATTTAAGGATACTCAACTACAAATGTTATACTCAGAGTTATCACCGATTGTTCCAAATCTAAGCTGCTAAAGATTTGCTTCTTTTACCATCCTTTTACATGGAAAGCAGGATCTCATTCTGATATTGAAATAACTCAGGAAAAAGTCATTAGATTTGGTATCTAATTTTTTTTAATGGGGGAAATATTAAAAGTATGTTCACATGTAAAATAAAATGAATTGTGGAGCTATGAAAACAACTAGAGCAACAATTTGGGAAATCTCCATTCTAAAATAACCTGGAAGTGTGTGTGTGTGTGTGTGTGTGTGTGTGAGAGAGAGAGAGAGAGAGAGAGAGAGAGAGAGAGACAGGAAAATGAGTGGGAATATTGGAGAAGAGAGGATGAACCACGTGTGGGAGATAGAAGTAATCATGCCCATGGTGGTTTCTCCATGACTGGCATATAACCCAACATATTACAAATTTAAAAAAAAATGTTTAGAAAGTTTCAAGAGTGCCAAATGCAAAATGTTAAAGCACAGAAACAACGAATGAGATAACCCCTACAAATGTCAAGTTCCATATGAAAACAGGAAGAAAAAAATTGATAATATGCATCTTTTTTAATATACCAAATCTTAGTTGACTTAAAGATTATATAAAGTGCTTGGGCCATGACACCCACCCATATTCTCATTATCAGTGGTCTTATCTTTTCCCCTCCCTTCCACCCAAATTTAGTTCAGTGTTCCTGCAGAAAAAGTACAGCATTCCTATATTGATAAGAATAAGAAATGAAAACAGTGAGTACAACTGATATAGATCCATTGACTTTTATTACAAATGTACTTGATCACTTGGCTTCAAAAAGTTTAAAATCAATACCCTATTTTCTGTATGCCAGTACAAAGCAAACTGTTTTACAAATTAAATACCTAAAAATTTGACAAAAATATTAAAATTTGATGAAAAACAATTATAAAAATCCTTAATCTCTCTCTCTTCAAAAAAGGAGGCAGTCTTCCCAGTCCTATTATACAATATTAATAATATTCACCATTTTTAGAATAGGTAGCTAAATTATATTTTTCTGTTAGCATACAAAACTCTTAGACTAATAGATTTCATTTGTATATGCTCCAGTTAAGTTTGTGAATGCCATCTGATTGCAATATAATCAACTATCTTTAATTGAGTCCTAATTTACACTTATTTAATAATTTGCATAGTTTAAAAGGGATAAAGGTTATTCTACAACTAATTATCATAGGCTATTACAGTGCTATTTTTCAAGGCAATAAGTATTTGCTCCCAAATGAAATTATCTGTCTTCTTTAGGCAGGGGTTAAAATTACTAGCAGCTTTCTCCATTACCTGAAAAATCAAATTGGAATAGTTATCCATCTCTAGATGTGAAGACCTAAAAAAACATATTGATATATTTTCCACTTTGAGTCAAATTTCAACCCCTGCATGGGACTAGAAAATGAGACTTTCAAGGTTTTTATTTCCCTGTTGGTTTTGGTTTCTACTCTCCATGGCTTTTAGGAAGCTGGGAAAGTTTGTCTTTCCTGACTCACATTGTCTCTCTTTTCCATTTGGCAAATATTCATCTACCTTCAATCTGTATCTAGTAGAGGAAAAGCCGACATGGCTTTTCTTATGAACTTCCTTTGTTGTCAAAGGCATGTATAATGATTTCTACAGTTCTGGTTAGTTAACTTTAGCTCCCTCTGTGGCTGGATGACTGCTGCTTCTAACATCAGCATGATAAATAGGAGGCACAAATAAAAAGTAGCTTAAAAAAAGATTTGGTGATTTAAAAGAAAAAAAAAACACGAACAACACCAAACACACACACATATATGGGCATTTCAAATCTGGTGGCTGATCTCTGGATTAAATTACTTGACAGTGTCTCTCATTTTAAAGAACGTCAATATTGCAATGCATTTCAAGTTTTCTTTTATACTTAGGCAAGTAATACGGTTTAACCAAGCTCTTGGACCTTAATTGTAAGACAAAGCAGATCATTAAAAATAAGGCATACTTGTCAGGAATTAAGTTTTGTTTGCTTGTTTTTGGCACATTTGATCATACTGTCTTCTATGAATAACACATATGGTCAAATATACCATTTCCTTTTTCATTTCAGCACAAAGAGGGTTTACCAACTAGTAAAATAAAAAACAAGGAAAAACTCCAACATAAAACACTGAGATACAGAACCTTGGTAAAGTACCGAGCACCTGGGGAAGGTGAGGAAAGGGTGAAACAGTAGAGGAAGGAAAGGCTGGGAGGGTGCTTGGGGAGGTAAAGTGAGATGCAAAAAAGAGCATCTTTACAGTCACTTAGTCTTTTCTAAGATCACCTCTTAAGTCTTAAAAGTTTTGCATGTGGATTTCTTTTTAAACCCACTGACCATAAATCAGAAACTGGTTTCAAAATCTTAGTAAAGATTGTGTTTAACTGTTATAGTGTAAAGACAATTGCACAATACATGTGCTTATTGATCCGGTAGGATTCCAAGCAGAATCTGAAGTCTGTAGGTTAAGAAAGGCTTCACTTTAGGTAACTGTGACCCTAAAGAAAACCTCATGAAAGAACTCGCATCTCAAAGAAAGGACACTTTGCCTAAGTTTGCTGTGTTTTTGTTGACTTGCACTACTTATTGCTGGCTACTATGAAACACTGATCTAGGAGTACTCCAACAACCTGTAGTACAAGGCTTAATTTTAAGAAGCTATAGTAAACAAGAGACAAAATCAAAGCAATTCTCTTTCCTAACTAGTAACAGCACAGAGAATGCAGTCTTTTCCATATCACAGTAAAAGTACAGTGAACAAAACAGCTCAACAAACCTTAAGACAAAAAAGTGCAGGTTATTAATGTTTACATGCAGTTGATAAGCATTCCAAATGTCACATTATGCACTGTAAAAGCTCAACTTTACTATATGGAAATAAGAAAAATGCACCTTGGGGGAAAGGGGAAAGCAATTTAATCATTTCCAGTGATTTTGTAAGTAAAGAAATTCCTAACTATTGTACGGTCACCTCATATTTAACATTGTATGAATATTAAAAGCAAACAATTTAATGGGAAAATGCACAGTACAATGGAAATAGCTTGTTATTCAACACATACAGTAGATCTCAAAAACAAAGACAACACACTCAACCAGGGAGCTTAAAAATATCAAATCAAAACCCAAAGAACCAGCAGAAAAAAAATCCTTCAAAAAGACAACTGTTTCACCTTCCTAGGCCAATGCTTTACAATGTGAGAAGCACTGATACCTTCCAGCTCCTACAGGTGGTGTCTTCTACATACAGCAGTAAGATCTATATGGCTGATTTGCCAAGAAACAATTCCATCCCCAGAACTCTCTATAGCAGACAAAATCCTTTTTTTAAAACCAAAATACTTTCTACAGAATTCCAAACCAAAATGTACTGTTTAAGGCATCTTTTTTTTATAACATTTTCTCTTCACTCAAAGATGATAGTCATGCAGCAGTTTAATGATAAAAATATATTAATATTTTACTATACAGCAGCAAGAAGTTAGTTGTCAATTAAAAGCACACGAACATCTTTAAATGAAAACCTGTAAAAGACTATCGATACAAACAATTTCAGTTTGGAGGACACCAGCTTGGTAAAGTGCTCTCCTAAGCTTTGCATTTTCATACCCTACACCTTGAATATATGAGTTATAGAACATACTTTTGATAGAAGGCTTGTACACTTGGGGAACACAAATACACTTAGCATATAATGTAGCCAGTAATAACTAGCACCACAGCTACATGGAAATCCTTTACACATACCAACTTGGCTTTCACTTTTAAAATGAAACTCAGAATCCATGGCTCAGTAGGATAACTATAATTGTGTTGCTCTGCTTTTTAACAGGTCTACATAAGTTAATAGCACTGGCAAAAATCAAAGAATAGCTTCAGACCTCTTACTAGTTTAGGAGACAGTGCTAGTGACCACAAATAGACTTGCTACCTGATGTCCAAGTACAGGTTCACTGGAAATTGCTGCACGTTAGTTAAGTTTTTAAAATCTTTCTACACATAATAAAAAAAATATATTATGAACGATACATCTCATATACACAATAATGACAAAACACCTACTCAATCAAAGCAAACAGATGCAGAAAAATATGGGAGATTTCCTTTTTCTTTCTTTTCTCTTTTTCCTTTTACTATTGAATAACTTTGGTTCCAACCGTAAAAATCACAACTTAGCAAATTTCATTTAAATGCCTTTTTTAATAATTTCTTCATGTTCACAGAAGTTTCACTGACCATTTTTATATGTTTAAGGTCCAGATGCAATGCATATTGTATAAAAGAGAGCACTTATTGTTTACCTTGCATGAATTAAACCTACGTACCTTTAACTCTACAAACTTCTGCATAACATTTAGACAAAGCTCAGACACACAGCATGCCTAGCCCTCATATATATACACATCTCTAATCACAGGTATATAGGGTGTCAAATATACTATAATAACCTCCATGTAAGGTTTGAAATTTGGTAACAAAATGAGAAAAACTAAAAATATTATTTTACGTGTTCTAAAATATCTCTTTTTTGTGCTAAAGTCAAATGTTAGCTCAACATGAAAAGGACTTTTATATAATTCAGCAATATTATAATCTTGACCATTTTGCAAACACTTTTAATAATAATAGCTTAAACGTGTACAAAAGTTCTTGGTTAATTAGGGAAATAAACACTCAGTTCTTTATATTTTTTAATCAAGTAGGAAACACAGTTCATATAATGTTATTACTTTTTGTATTTTTTTTGTTTTTTGTTTTTAGCAGCTGCTTACTGTTTTATATGGTGGATAAAGTGGACAACATCCAGCGATGGGTGGCAAGTCAAGAAGAGAAACTGTCAGTTGGTGGAGGTTCTGTGGGTGGTGCTCCCTTGGAGTTAACAGTTATTTCTTTTTTTTTTATTTTTATTTTTTACTTTTTAACTTTTTATTTTCTCTCTTTCTTTACAGTATATTTTCTGTGTGTGGCTGTGTGTGTGTGTGTGTATGCATGTGTGTGTGGGTTTTTTCCATTCAGTTTGATCAATCTTCTTCCCCTTCTTCTTCACCCTGCAGCAACAGGGTGGCAGCGGCGGTCTCCTCCTGCTGTTGCTGCTGCTGCTGGTGGAGCTGCTCACAGGCAGCTCGCTTCTCCCTCTGTTTCTCTTGAATCTTCTTCATCTCCTCCGAGTACTTGCAGAAGGTGTGTCCGAACTTGGCCCACACCTTGTAGGGCACGGTGATGGAGTTGCGGTAGGTGGGCTTAACCTCGCTCACTCGCATAAACACGCCGTACTTGTTAGAGCCCACATCGAAGAAGAAGCGCTTGTTGTCCACAGTCAAGGAGGTGCCCTCGGGCAGCTCGGCCGGCTCCTCCTCCACTCCGTAGTCATCGATGAGCTTGGCCAGAGCGTCGCGGAACTCGATGAGCCCCTGTGCGGGCAGCGCAATGGTCTGGCCCTGCGTGGAGCCCAGGCCGGGCCCCCGGTTGACCGTCTGGCGGATGCGCAGGAAGCGGCCGCGCTGGTTCTCCTTGAGATCCATGTAGTACTTGCGGTTCTCGCGCACCAGGAACTCGCTCTTGAGCGCCCGGCGCGGCTCGTCCTGCGCCTGGGCCAGGTCGGGCGGCTGGCTGGGGCCCAGCTGCGCGTAGTGCTCGATGAAGTCGCCCAGGTAGTCGCGGAACTCCACGGCCACTGACATGGAGAGAGTGAGGCGGCTCTTGTTGCCGCCCGCGCCCACCTCAGCAATCTTCAGAAAGCGGCCCTTGGCGTTCTGCTTCACGTCCAGGTAGAAGCGCTTGTTCTGGATGTCCACCCGCTTGGAGGCCAGCTCCTGCGTCTCGTGCTGCAGCCCCCCCGGGGCCCCGCCGCCGCCGCCGCCACTGCCGCCGCCGCCCCCGCCGCCACCACCGCCCCCGCCGGAGCCCGAGCCCGAGCCTGGGTGCCCCAGGGAGCCGCCCGAGCCCAGCGCCGCACCACCCTGCTCGCTGCCGCTGTCTCGGTCCGCCATGATGCTGCGCTCCGCCGCCGCGCCGCCGCCGCCGCCGCCGCCGCCTGCCGCTCCGCCCGCCGCCTCAGTCGCCTCAGCCGCCGCTGCTTTCCCTCCCCGGCTCCGCCTGCTGCCGCCGCAACCCCCACAGCCAGTCAGCCACTCTCGCGAGATCTGCGGGAGAGACGAGACCCGGTAACAGGGCACTGACTCCCCAGTACAGTAGCAGGGCGCCCTACTGTACGCGCCCACCCGCCCGCCGGCACGTGACATGCGCCCCCTCCCTGATGCCAGCCCCCCGCCCGCCCGCCCGCCAGGCGGCGCCCACCCGCCGGCCCTCACCCTACACCCCTGGCGTGGGGGGGGGTGTGTGTGTGGGACGCGCCGCGTCGCAGCTGCCGCCGCCACCACCACTGTGGCTGTCGCTGTTGGCCAGACCCTGGGCAGCCTCGGCCCAGGGAGTTGGGAGACCAGGGGTGAGAAGGGGACTGCCATACTAAGCACAGGGAGCGGGCCTGAGCTCTGCATTCCAGTGACCCCAAAGAGAGTATGTGGGGGGAAGGGCCTGTGAAGCGCTACTGAGCCGGCTGCAGACAGGGGACACCAAGTCACGGCCACCCCCTTCCATGTGGGCCTCAGCCAGACCCAAACCCAAACCCAGACAGGCCCACCCACTGCCCGCCTGGGCTGTCTCCTACCGCAGAGCCCTGGCCGCAGAGGCGGGCAAGAACAGGAGAGGTGGTGCGGCGGTAACCCTTAGCTGCAGAAGGGGCTGCTTGGGATGAGGACGGGGCGCCGGCAGCAGTGGCGCGGAGCAGCAGACACCTAGCCTGTCCCTCCCCTCGCTCCCGCCGCTTCCCCCTCCCCGCGCACGGCAGCGACTCTGGCCTCAGATGATCCCGCTCCCCCCTCCCCCCAACCGCAGCCCCGCACAGTCGGGCGGGCAGGCGGGCGGGCGCACTCACCGGCGGGGGGGAGCCAAGCAGAGGACGGCAGCCGCACCAGGGCCGGGGTGCCCGCAGTGCCTGTTCCCGTTGGCTCTCCCCTTCCCCCCAAGCAACAATCAAAAAGAAACCCCACGCTCACCCAAAAACCTTCAACGAACCCCCTTTGGGACCACAAATGCCCGCCTGCCTCCCCCTCCTCCTTCCGAGATTTGGGGAAGGGGGGCACCCTGCTCAAGGCTGAGCCCAGCCTGGGTTGCCGGCCAGCTCTGCGGATGAACCAGGCCCTGCCGAGCCTTCAGCCCCTAACCCACTCTTTTTCCCCTCTGGAAGGACCCAGAACGGAGGAAAAACCAAGCAAGATTTAGTAAATTCACGAGCTAAAAATGTCAGGAATTTCCTGGGAAACGCAGTTCCTTACGGGTTTCATTAACGCAGGTTCGCTCGCCCCTTTTATCCCTCCTCCCAGAAACTCCTTAGTATCTAGGAGAGCCCCTACCTCTCAAAAAGTAAAACATTAAATGATTAGTGGTTTTTAGGTAGACAGCTAGGTTACCAACCATTAATTAACCCATGGATCTTTGGACAGTGACAGCTAAAGGGGGTCTCCGGTCTCAGAAAAACTCGGAAAGAAGTGTTTTCTTTCTTCCTAAATCTAAAGCATAATCTAGGGCCTGTATTCCTTCTCCTACATATATAGCAAATGCTCATACTCCCTCCCTGCAGTCTGCAGTTCTAAGAGTTGGGGAGAAGCTAAGGCCTATCTCCAGGGGAACCCCTGCCATTGCCCCTACATTCTCCTTGTCACCTTCTGCAGGGGGCTCAAGGAAAGACATCACAGCTTTACTCCTGGCTTTCTCACGCATAGATTGCTGTCTCCATCCTTAGAAGAGTGTTTCTGTCCCATCTGTGGGTTCCGTTCCCACTGAATATCCCTCAACCCCCGAAGTAAGGGGTCTTCCCTCCCTCATTCAGCCCCAGAGACAGCTGAATACCATGGTTGTGCAAGGTTCCTGGAAAAGAAAGGGGTGAAGACGACTAAGGATCAAGAAACCCAGATCAGTCTAGGACCTAAGCCTTGGCAAGACCTGAGCCCTCAAAGCTCCCTAATGTATCCCTTTACCTCCTAAGCAAACCTGCCTGCTAAGTATTCATAGCTTCCTTTTTCTTTTAGCAAGGGCCCATTCTACCCAGCAATAGCTATTCTGGCTCTGGACTGATGTTTGCTACTTCCCGCTAAAGAGCAAGAAACAGGGAAAAGCACTATGGCTACCAAAGAGCAAATTGGAGTAGTGCTGTGGGAACCAGCTCCCGAACTACCTCCTAGTCCAGCGGTCCCTGAAATGGTTCCCTGAAGGGGGGGCCCATTCTGAGAGACAGAAATCAAGGCTTTGGGCCCCGTAAAGACTTCTCCTTAGTTGGAGGGCATCCTCCAGTATCGTGTAGTACCATTTTAGTGCTGATCTTACTAAATTCCCTCCCTTGTCCTCAACTCTGTAAGGAAGGGGAGAGAAAAACTGTTGGCGCACTTCCCAACGCGCAAAAATTCAAGTGAGAAAAAGCAGTGGCTACTCCAAACTCACACAGTAGCGATCAGGACCCTGGATAGACCCTGGCCCCAAACGGACGGGAAGGCTGTGTGGCAGGGTCTCCGCACAGAGCAAGGCGGGGCATTAAGCTCCCAGCTGTAAACTGAGGCTAAGATCTGTTTAGATCTGTCTATCTAGAAGAGCCGCTGCTCTTCTGGGGTTTACCTTGCACAGAACCAAGCCCTTACCCACTCAAGAAAGCTCATAGCAGTAAGAAGCCCAATGGGATTGTGATGAGGGGGCACGTGCCTGCCAGTCCCATTCTTCTAAGCTAATGACTGTTTCCCCCAGGACAGAAAACTAGGGCTTAAAAATGCCCACCTTCCTAGACCAACTTTAGAGTTTAAATTTCTCGCTTCTCTGTCCCAAACATTTACATCCAGGGGTCCTGAAGCGGTTTGAGTTTGGGAACACCCTGATTTTCTGAAAAAGTGTCACTAGAAACTGAGTTCTTAGTTCCCCAGCACACAGGCAACTGATGAAGCTTCTAGACAAAACACAAGTTAAATATCATTTGCATGCTCAAACTGGGAATTTTAAACTCAAATCAGCAAACGACTCAGACCTGTATCTCTCCACATAAATGTGCATTTGCTTATTTTGTTATTTGTTATATATGTGTAAAATTTCTACCATTATATATCAGCCTCTCCCCTATTTTACAAATGTATCTAAAAGGTAAGCAAGGCTAATAATGGCTTTTCCAAAATAATTCAATGATAAATTAGACATTTAGCACATTTCCACTACTCAAAAAGTTAACTTCAGGATAAGCCTGTAAGTGTGGGGCTTTGGTCAGACTAGGAAGGGGATGGTGAAAGGCGGCTTTCTTTAGGCTACAGAATACGGTAGCCTTAAAAGGCAGTCTAGGAAGAATGAATATTGTCTCAGAGGAAGGTCTTAAAAAGTTCAGAAGCTTAAAAAAGAATTTCAGAGTTAGATTTGCATCCTAACATTGAAAACCCATTAGAAAATTTATAGATTTAAAAGGACTTCTAGCCATTTGTTAATTACCTAAATAATATACTTAGTAAATTAAAAGTCAGTTCTAGTATTTAACCTTTTGAATTTGTTAGTTTGAAACAAACAGTTGTAAAATTAGATTGATAATTTCAATACAATGTAGGAAAGGCAAAGAGGAAACGAAATAAATGAACATGCAGCAAAATATCAGTGTTAAATAAAAATCATTAAAAAATATTCCCTTTCTACTCTAAGTTTGCTTACTTTAAAAAAATCTGATAAACGTCTAGATTTCTTGTGCTTTTATTAACACTACACACACATTTTGAAGAGAACAGAGATTGCTTTATTTTTAATCCCACTATCTCTATGTCGTTAACAAATTCTTACCAACAAAAATTGTTCACAAATGAAACAAACATTAGGCAGAACAAAAAGGAAAAAAGCTTCAATTTTCCTCAGCCTGAACTACGGGTAATTCTAATATGCTTTAGTCTTTAAAAGTAAAAATTAACACACACACACACATTTATAAAATAAACTTGGAGGGAGAGAATCTACCTCTGAGTAAAAAACCCTTTTGGTTATGGAGTTCCCAACAGAAACAATATGCTGATTAATATCACAGATTTCCAAAATAAAAGAGAAGCAAGAACATTAGAAATTGTTTCAAGAGCTACTTAGGTTAAATGCCTGTCTTAAACTACACAATTATCTTCAATACCCAAATCATTAAAACTAACTGGAATGTTGTACTGCAAGTGTTCAAAGTGGAGGAATTACCCATTTCTTCTCATGCCTCTCTACCAGGAAAATGAAGTGAAACTCTCAAGTAAATGTTAACGTTTAACAACAACAAAGACTAATAGTAACAGTATTTCATCAATCATTTTTTTAAAAGCACATTGTCCTTCTATAGCTCACCTAATCTTCAAAATTATGCCTCTCCAATACTATTTTAATGTTTAAAGATATGAATTAAACATTTAAAATCTGAAGAGAACAATCCATGTGACAGAACTCTCGCATTTCACAAAATGTTTTCACTTTAAGCATTTGCAAAAGAGTTAAATAAACATAGCACACATTTCTAAATTCGATAAAAGATTCCGAGAAACCGACATTTTATGTACCCAAAAGGCCCAAACAGAACCGATGCAAATATCAATAGCTCACTCTCTTCCGGCTGATACTTAAAAGGTTTTACTAGTACCCAAAGGAATGAAATCAGCAACTCTCTCCACACTCTAGTCAACATTTCAATTTTGAAAGCCGCAATTCGCAAACGTCAGTTTGGGCTGGGATCAGTGGGGGTCTTTAAGTAATTAAAAAAAAATCCTTTTCTCCGCTGACAGTCTACCAAAAGATGTCAAACCAAATTCGTCTGTTACAAAGCACTGGGACCTCCCTTCCAAGGACACGGGACACAACCATAGACACCGCTGCAAAAAGCTCTCCAAAAGCACCTGGCCCGACAGAACGAATTAGAACCCTCGAAAAGGTCCCCTCACACACAGCGGAAATGAAGGTGGCATTTATTTAGGGGTAGACAGCAACGAGCCAAAGAAAGTTGCCCTAGCCGGACTTGGGCCTTTCTCTATCCAAGTTCAGAATCAAGGCAAATACATTTGTGGGGGTCCCTTCTGGAGACACTCCAGCCGCCTCCGGAGGCCACTGTCATTCAAAGGGAATACCCTCCAGCTTCGCATCCGTTCCTTTTGCCCCCGAATAAAGACAGAGGAGGCTGTTGGGCTGACCTAGCTCCGTGGGGCAGCAAAAATGCCTTGTTCGGGCCACCCATCATTGGGCCTGCCTTCATCTGCGATGTCAGCACCAATGTATTATTTTTTATTTTTACAACGCATCCTGGGCGGGTGTATGCATTGCGGGGGTGGGGGTTGAACAGAGGAGAGGAGAGGTTGGTAGTGAAGCCTAGAACCCTCCTTCCTTTCCCCTCCTGCGAGGGCTGCTGTGCAGGGAGTGTCGGCCACATTTGGCGCACTGTCCCAGGCCCGGGGCGAAGGTGGCCAGGGGAAATGGGGCTTAGGAATTGCTAAGCAAACGGCACCATTGGTGGTCTACTAGCGTCAGCAGAGGTAGGAATGTCTTTTTTTTTTTTTTTTTAAAGGGGCGTGTGATTTTGTTCTTTTTTGGAGGTGGGAGTCCGTTCGTTCGTTCGTGCGCTACGGGGGGGGGGGGGGGGGGGGGGGGGGGGGGGGGGGGGGCGTTGCTGCACTGCCTGAGTCCCCGGAGGGAGGGTGCGAGGATGTCTAGAATGGTACAGTAATTATTCCTGGGACATAAGAGGGCAATTAGAAGGGACGGGGTGGGCGGCACCTCGAGTTGTGGCAGTGGCAGCAGGGAAGGTCGCGAGGGGCTTACCCGGGCGGGCGGGCGCTGTCCTGCCGCAGGTGAGGGAGGGCGCGGGCTGGAGGGAGGGAGGGCGCGCGCGAGGCAGGCGGTAGGCTGGCGCGAGGAAAGGGGGAGGGGAGGAGGGGGAGGAGGGCGCGCGCGCGCACACCTGTCCTGGACAGCGGCGCGAGCCGAGCGGCGCCTCACTCGGGCTCTGCCGGCTGAGGAGGAAGGAGGGCGGGCTGGCAGGCGGGGGCGGGACGCCGAGGGGAGGAGGAGGAGGCGGCTCGGATGGCTGGCCCGACTCTCGCTCGTTCTCCCTCCCGCGGGCAAGTCCGGCTCACACCCTGCTTCTCCCGCTCACTCACAGCCCCCTTGACTCTCCCTCCTCCTCCTCCTTCCCCTGCGGGATCCGCTCGCCGCCGCCGCAGACGGCAAGTCGTGGCAGCCAGACGTCGGCGCGTAACCCGGCGCTCCGTGCGTGACTCCGAGCGACGTCAGCGCGCGCTCCGCGCTACCCACCATCTCTCCCCCATCCTCCCCCCGTGGCTCGCGCCCTCCGCCCTCGCGTCCCTCCGTTTCAGTTGCCGCGGCGGCGGGCGCCGGGCGCGCTCCCTCCGCCCTCCTCTTGCGCGTGCGCGCGCCTTCTGCGCCGTTGGCGCGTCAACAGCCCGCGGCCCAGGCCTTGAGGCGCGTCTGAGGAAGGGGCTGCCTGTGGCCTCTTTGCGCGCACTTCCTCCACTCACCGCCTGTGGCGCCCCTAGGAGGACTTATCCCGCGTTGGGCTTTGAAGGCTGGAGCTAGGCTCTGGCGGGTCTAGAACCCTGTAGGGCCTGCATCAGCTCCAACTTAGGGCCCTAAGCGTCGTTAACCGCGCAGCTACCACCCTGTCCCTCTCTCCCTATGCCCTCGTTCCGCCCGCATCTCTCAGGAGGCAATAAGCCTTTTATCTCCCGGGAGGGTCTCACCTTGGTCTTCAGAAGCCTGCGGTGAGGGCTAGAAGGGCAGAATTAGCATAAAGAAGAAAGAGGCGAGACCACGTTCAGGCTTTAGCCCCAGGAATCCTTGACAGGAAGCGTGGGGTTGCTGCCCAGCCTCCCACGCAGTGTAGGTGAAACTGGGCCCCTTTGAGGGGCTGTGACTAAGGACAAAACCCTGATAAATATTATTTATGCGTCCTTGGACTGAGAGGGAGAAAGTGTAAGAGACGAGTTAATTTTCATAAACTGCTACGCAGGGGCGAAATGCAGAATTATAAAATGTCCTTTAAGAGTTTTCTTGAAATCTTACCAAGTTTGACAAGATGTTTGGTACAGGGTAACTTTTTCCGATACTTTGTATGCTGTCACCTCTCCATCCTGCAACACGGCATACATGGAAGATGGATCAATTAAAAAATGATCAATTAAAAATTACCTGCAAAACAAATAATAAAGTGCCTTCACCATCTTTATCACTATTTAAATAGATGTCATTGTATAGTTGAGAAAAATTTAGTCACTCTCCTTATTTAGCTGAGCATATTTTATTTTCAAGTTACCTTGCAATACACAGTAAATACCCTTTTATTAGGCAATATTAGACTTAAACTCACTTATTATAGGACTGGGCCTTTTTTAAGGAATTGCATCTAGTTAAGCCTTTGAATCAAGTAGGAGTGAGATGAAATTAACCCCATTTTATAGAGGAGAAAATTGAGTTACAAAAACGTAAGTTCAGAGTTGCAAGGAGTCTGTGACCCATAAAGGGATCTATTATTACCTACTTTATCCACTAAACCAGAAACCCCTCTATTGTTTACTTGTGAGTATCTTTGGATGCCTCTCTCCCCCTTCCCATGTATTGTAGTCAGTGCCGAATGTCTGAGAGAAACAGATTTCGGAGGCATTCCTGGAGAACCCAAATCACACAGGACTCTACAAGGTTTGAGGTTGGAATTCCCTGCCATAGAAAATTACAGCTGTGCAATAAGTTATTGTGAAGCAAATCAGATTCTCTACTAACAACAAAGTGTGTATTAATCCCTAATTAGAGGTGATAAAACTTTTGAGGCAGGTTTAAGAATGATGGGTCATTTCTTTTCAATTGCTTCTTTATTCACCTCATCCTTAGGTGGCAGCACTACTATATAAATATCTTTTAAAACTACAGTCTTCTGCAACTGGATATCCTGAAGAGTGTTTTATCCTAAATACATCCAACTCTATTGTGGAGATTAGAAATATGAAATCATACCTGAGAATTAGAATACTTAGTAGAATACTTAGGAGGTTCTAGAGGAGGAAGAACAGAAAGGGTTTCAGAGAAATTAGTACATGTAGTTACTGAAGGAAAAGATTTGAAAGTTTTTAAAAAGCTTTTTCTGTTTTCTTTTTAAGGTATATGAGGCGCAAGTAGCACCTTTACTCTAAACCTGATCTCCTATTGAACGAGCACAAAATAACCTTCCAAAACAAACTATAGTTCTCATTATTGATTTTTTA